CTCTCTCCGGCTTTCTGCCTTCCCTTGGAAACACATCGTGATTTTTTTCATTCTGAAACGCGGCAACCGTTCTCAGCCCCAAAATTACCGATCAATTTCTCCCACAGCTGTCATAGCAAAAAGAATTTCAAACCATCAAATCCAACCAACTGCATTCGTTCCTCGAACGCCATCACGATGAAACTGTACCTTGACGTGGTGTGATGGCTTGCGTGCCTCCATGACCCTGTGAGCTACACAGGATGGCTTTTCACGACCGTAGATCCAATCATGCTTGAAAGGTCACCGGGTAGAGGCCAGACAAAGCTGTCTCACAAGGCCAGCTGCTTGGGCAACTCCTGGCTTCCTTCGTCTATCCATGACTGTCCCTGGAGAGGTCACTCAAACAAATAAACACGATGAGAGGCAGTTTACCGGTCAAAAAGACCCGATAGATGGACTTAGGAGCGGGGTACCTGGGGGCTTCCTCTCGATTGTGGGAGAAGCCTTTGCACTTCATTGGACAGCTACCGCCCGCCCAGGCTGGGCAGCCCCCAACCAATAAGGTGCTGTCCCGTCCACGTTCCGCTTGTCTCATTGGGTGCATCAGGCTAAGGGCCGATCCCGAAAAGCGAACCGATAATTAACGCACCAGCGAACAAAAAACTTAACCGAAATCTAAAGGCCTTGCGTGATAGGTCTCCAGAAGCTCCCACACGGGTGCTTCGGTCACGCTCCCGCGTTGGATCTAAGCCCCACTGCCTTGTGGGTCAGACTCTTGAGTCAAAGGCTCCGGTTGGGGTTCCCAAAGAAAACCTCTTCGTCGGTGTGGGCTGCCGCGAAGTATGTCGTGCCCTAAAGTCTTGGGCACCCATTCTTCCCCTCAATCCCAAATAATCCCAGATGCCCCCTGTTTACGCCACCCGTCGATTATCACTCAGCGTTGTACTAGCAAGGTCAAACAATCAGAAGTTACGGGAGTTTTGAAGCCGAAATTCCCTTATCACTTATCCGCGTTCAATGTCCACACTCTATCAGATTGGCCAACAAGCTGCCTTGGCTAGGATGCTTGAAACTTTCAATTTAGATGTATGCTGTGTTTCCGAAATAAGCACACAAGACCCTACTTCCACCATCTCCCTACGTTGTTCTAACCCAACCTCGATCTCACGCTTCACCCTGCGCGTGTCAGGCGATTCGGTATCCGAAAATCGCGGTGTTGGGATTACGCTAAGTTCCAAGGCTGAGCGCTTGCTTCTTGACTGGATTCCAGTCAGTAGCCGACTGTGCGCTGTATGTCTCAACGGCTCAGCACAGGTCAACAGCTACAGAACGAAGCGTCGGTGCTTATTCGTTGTATCGGTGTATGTACCGACCGATTGCAGCACACCTGAAATGGATGAACTTTACACGGATCTCTCCCAAGTGCTCGGCAGTCGCTGGAGACTTCAATGCTCAAGTGGGAGCTCTGGACGAATCAGAAAAGCTTCTTGGCGGACCGTATGTAGTCCCAGCCAATCGGACGGACACCGGAGATTGCCTACTTCAACTCCGTGCGGATCACCGATTGTTGCTATCAAACACGAACTTCTCGCACAAGAAACGACACCGACTTACATGGAAACCACCAATCTCTTCATTGCGCTGGACCCAGATCGACCACGTCGCCATCAGTTACCGCTGGAGGGGGCCGATTCAAGACTGCCGTTCTTACTGATCCACACCCGTAGATACTGATCACGCTTTGCTACCAGCCAAACTCTCCTTACGCCTGGCAAACAACCGCAAGAAAGCTACCGACAACGGATACCCACGATACAATGGCGGCCTTCGAAACGCAGCCCTATAAATCGCCTATCAGCTCAATCACCAACCGAAGGACTCAATGAACATTGGAATAAAATCAAGGAAGCTATGTAAATATCGATAAAAAAACAACGTCGGACCCTGCCTCAAGCTCAAAACACAAACCATGGATCTCGTTCACCTCAATTGCCCTGCTGGACGCCCGCAGAACCCTCCCTTCCGATGCCACATATGGCACAGCGCGCAAATCCCTTAAACACCAGCTCATCAAGAGTCTGAGGATTGACCGCGGGTGATGGGTAGAAAAGTGTAAAGAAAGGGAGAAAGTTGCGGTTATATGTATAGTCACAACCTTTTCCGTCTAATTAGGAATACGGACCCTAGGGAAACAGGTGTGGGGTAATTAAGGAAATTGATGGCACACTGATTCACGATCAGCAACGCCGTCTTGACCGTTGGGCTGAACATTTCAAGGACCAGTTCAACTGGCACCCATCGATATCACCCTCTACCTCGGCTAAGCGGATACTCCCAGTTGATACCAGTCCTCCATCTGAAATGGAGGTTTCCCGGGAAATTAGTTATCTAAAAATGCATAAGGCCGACGGGCTGCCTTATCGGTTTTTGAGGACGGAGGCTTAGCCTTAGTCTTGGAGTTACGAAACCTTCTGGGCTCAATGCGAAAGAGAGAACAAGTTCCAACTGAATGGTGTGAATCGGTGATCATACCGATTTACATAAAAGGCGACAGGTCCTCTTGTGAAAACCACAGAGGAATGAGTTTAATCAACACCGTCTCTGAACTTCTCGCTGCGATCATACGTCGATTGTCTGCGCACGTGAACGATGCACGCATGACAACCAGGCTGCCTTTGGCCTGGTCGGGGTTTCATCGACCATATCTTTACTCTCCGCCAAATTCTGGAGCATCGACATTCCTTTCGTCGACCCACCATTTCTGTCTTCTTCGATCTGAAAACGGCTTTCGATTCAAGTTAAGTCAAGGAATGGCTGCATTTCTCTGGAAGGTTTGTCCGAGAAGCTAATTGCAGTACTACACTCCCTTTATACAAACAGCCGAAGTTGCGTTCGGGCTTACGGCACGTTTTCCCCCGAGTTCACCACGGAAAGTTGTGTTCGACAGGGTTGCCCTCTTTCTCCTTTTCTATTTAACTCTGTTGTAGACCTGATTAAGGAAACAGCCCTATCCTCGTGCGAGGATAGTGGCATCAATTTACTTCCAGGTGGCAGGCTGTCTGAAACAGAATATGCAGACGACATGGCGCTACGAAGTGGAGATCCATTTAAGTTGCAAGCTTTTTTAGATAGTTTAAGTGCTAGTGTAACCAAGTTCGGTATGCGTTTGCACTTCCTAAGTGTAAAATGCTACTTCAAGACTGGGTTAGTCCAGCACCCACCCTCACTCTAACTGGGGAATTAATAGAGCAGGTGGATAAGTTTTGTTATTTGGGCAGCTACATCTTACCCGGTGGACGCATCACGAATGAAGTGTCAGCTCGCATACAGAAGGCTCGATTGGCACTTGCCAACTCGAGACATCCGTGGCGCCATCGCGATATCCGGTTGTCTGTGAAGGGTCGAGTGTATGCTGCAGTAGTTCGGCCAGTTGTGCTATACGGAGCAGAAACGTGGCCATTAAAAAAACAGGATAAAGATAGACTGTCGGTGTTCGAACACCGCTGTCTACGCAACATCGCACGAATCTGGTGGGGCAGCCGGACGAGCAATGCTGAGGTCAGGCGCAGAGTTTTAGGTAAATGCCGTCGCTCACTGGAGCAAATGGTCGACTTCCATAGGTTACGTTGGTTGGGGCATGTGTTACGCATGTCACCAGATAGGTTGCCACGGTGAGCGATGTTCGCCGAGCAGGTAGTGGGTTGAAGAAAGTCAAGGGTGGTCAAACTAAGACCTGGCAGAAGGGTATAAAACCCCTAACCAGGAGTCTGGGTCACGTAGGTCCCGTTAGGCTCCCTGGCTGGGGACCTCGGGATGATCATATCCGATAGTTGGATACACCGAGTAATATGGCTGTGTCGTAAACAGTGGCGTTTGTGCATCTTGTCAATTTCTCTCCAAAATTAATCTACTGAAATCCTAAATTTTCTTCTTGATCCTACTTTCCTGTCTTTTTCCTTGTCTTAATCCGAATGGGAAGCCAAAACTGGTGCACAATAGTGCATCGTTATTGGTTGTACAAACTGAACTGAACTGATTCATCCTTATCAGATTTCGGTCACTAGATGTCGCATTTCCCTACTCCAATCTCCCTTTTTCCGTGAACTGGCAAGGTTTGGAGCACCCTTCCACGTTCTGTCTTTCCCCTAACTCGCAACATTACAATCTTAAAGCACAACATCAACAGACTGGGTCTTAAATGAATGCTCCCCTGGACACCCTCGGGTTAAGTAGAGCTGAATGCTACCAGGTGCGTCCCCGGGTTGTGGATAGGGGGATACCGTTACCGACGAAGGTTAACTGTGAATACGTTGTGGCAAACCGCAACAAATAAGCAGTCGCGGACAAACAGTGGTGGAGCTAACAGGGTGTGGTGGTTTTCAGGTTGGTCACCTGGCTCCTGTTTAAAAGCCGCATAAGCCCAATGACGGTGTTGTGACAAAGGTCGATTTAAATGGTCTTTTAAAACTAAAGTCATTGACTCCCTTACTTCCGAGGCGAGGGATCACTTCCTGACGCCTTGCAGTTCGCACTTGGTTGTGCAAAGGCTAGAGGTTCGCACTCAAAATAAAAAAACGCCAAGTGACGCTGGGGACGTCTCTCGTATCAAACTCCCAAGTAAATTCATGGCCATGTCTTCTACGGCGGCAACCAGAAACATTCATGGAGCCGGCTTATCCTTTCCAAGGATCCAGCCGTAGTAAATTACGTAAGTAAAAAAGAATGCTCCCTACTCGCCCTTATACAGTGTCTTTTGTCTACGAGGATTGTTTTTTACGGTAACTTTCATTAAGTGTAATAAAAAAATCCAGGTCGGTTTTTACCATTTAGGTCTCCTCACCGCTCATTTCGTGGATGGCTAACTTCAAAGACGCGTTTATGGAGCCAGTCAAAGACAAACTTGTGTTTTATATTTTATCCAAACCCACGGCATCTATTGTTAATAACGAACTTGAAGTGCATATATACAATCATACAAGCGAAACAAATATTAGAAGCTTTTTAGGAAAGGTATCCACTCATTGTGTTTTCTTCTTTTGCTTCTTCTTTGTGCTCACCGTCTTCTTAGAGCCCTTGATTTTGAGCTTCGATGCCTTTTTGTGAGGCTTCTTTTGCGCTTTAATTTCCCCAACCATCGCTGTCGCCTGTGCTTGTTGCTCAAAAACCTTTTGTCGATGAAGCTTTCGCTTTTGTTTCTTCACTAACCGCTTGGCCAAATAACGTTCACGCATTGAGCCGCGCAGATTGCTAGGCAATGTAATACCTCTGACCTTGCCGGTCTGATCAAGTCTGAGGTGAACTTTGGATGTCGGCACTGGTGTGACTGAAGACTTCACCGGTCGTACTCTACCCACCTTCGGAGTGGTCACCTTGACTTTTGGTTTCCATCGCTTTGCCTGCTTTGCTTCAGGCCCGGTAGGTTTGCACTCCTCCACACGCACAAGTCTATCACGGATGGATAAGGATTGTGTAGCTCGGATAGCAAGAGAGACTGCAGCCACGTCTGCGAACTGCACGTATCCGATCCCTTTTACAGCTCCTGTTTGCCGATCTCGAATTAGTCGGACGTTGCTGATTTGGCCAAATCGTGCGAATG